CCGTCAGAGACAAGAAACAGATCACTTACAAGGGAACACCCATCAGAATTACAGCAGACTTCTCGACACAAACCATCAAATCACGAAGAGCATGGGGGGAAATAATTCAAGCTTTGAAAGATAACAGCCTCCAGCCAAGATTGATATATCCTGCACAACTGTCCCTAGAAGTTGATGGAAAAACAAGGTGCTTCTAGGATAAAGAGGAACTAGGGGAATTTGCAACCACCAATTCAACTCTACAGAGAATACTGCAGGATATTCTAAAAAAGGAAAATACCAAGATTCCAGAAACAGTGGCAGAGAGGCCAAAATGAATGGAGCAGAAAACAAAATGAAGAAGACAAACTGACAACTAATGACAGAAAAAGAGCTCAACAGAAATTGAGGCAGAAAAGATCGGATGGTAGGAACAGCTATTATGGAGAAAACAAGACATCATACTAGCTAGTGCTGATTTAGTATCATCTTGTTTTGAAGTCCCATCAAGCTATTATTCTTCTGTCTCCATTGGTCTTAACAGGTTGTATCTTATTGGATTTTATTATATGTGATAATATAAGCAAAAACTTTTATAGACAAGGAGATTATACAGAAACCATTGTTCATTTTCTGATAGTTGGTTCTAAATACCCTGTAATACTGTCATTCTCTTGAATGGTTTTACATTGTCTTGATATGTTTGGTACTACAGTATAGGAAATTATACTCAAAGACTTCAAGGAAAGAGACACTATGGTAACTACTTTTATGTCAGGATATCTTGTGGTGAAACACTATTTTGCTTAAATGGTTATGCTTTGACCTGTGCTGTTTTGTTGTTATGCCCTCTTTTATCTCAATCTCCTTTTTTTTAATTATTCACTTTTTTATTTTTATCTTTTTAAGAGAAAAATAAATTAAAAATAGCAGGATACATTATAGTAACCCACTTTGATTTCCTATTAACTTGATTTGAAACCCTGTATTACCCTCACCATCTTGTTTTGACTGATTTTCCTCTATTCTGCTTTGCTTGATAGTACCAAGTTCAAAAGTATAGGCAACAACTGTGAAGACAGTAAGATTCACTATGACATGCATTCTGGTTGACTATTATCTTCTTTTAAAGTCCTGCAATGTCTCCAATGCTTTGGTTTAATCTTTACTGTTTTGTTCAATTTTATTATAACTGATGATATAGGCAATTCTTTTTAAGATAGCAAGAGGCAGTATGGTAACCATTGTTGATCACCTAGTATTTTGTTTTTACATTATCTATTATGTCCATCCTTTTGATATCACTGACTCTGTTCTGATATGTTGCATTTGGTTTTACTCTCTTCAAAAAAAAAGCAATAAGAACTGTGGGAGTAATAAAACCCAAAATGTGTAATTGTCATTGTACAAAACAAAGGCAAAGGAAGTGCTCTAAAGGATATAATTGCATATATATTTAAGTGTATAAGACAGATAACCATATTACTGTTTGAAAGTCCACATTATATGCTTTAGTTTTGTAACCTGAACAACTATTTCCAAGATAACAATATGTAATCTATTAACTAGTGATTTCCTACTGTTTATTTTTCTGTAATTCTGTATAACTTGTACCCTTTTTCTGTTTTTTTTTCTTTTTCTCTTTAAATAAAATTTTAAAAAATTACTGGTTAGCCTAAATTAGTGTGGATTTGCAGCAGAGGAAAAAGACCATACTGAGAGGAAGAAAGGACGTAGAGACAGGGAACAGCGACCTCACTGTAACTTGGGACTTCAAAGTGAAGAAAGCAGGAAGGGGAAGCAGAGTCAAGGGGCATTTCCAGTACCGGTCCTTGGTTGCCCAACTGATTCTCGTGTCTCTGTGGTTTCCAGTGCCTCCTTCATCCCTACATTCCTGTTCTGTTCATTACCCTGGCCTGAAATCATTCTTCTAAGGACCCCTTCTTTCACTCATCTTTTCTCATGTCATTTATCTTTCAGCATCCTAGGAACAGGGTCACCCCCCAGCTCTAGGCCAAGCTACTGCAATCAAAGAAACGTTTTCTTCCTGTTTGGCTCTGGGTAAACCCTTCTGATTTCTGACAATACCTAGGAGTTATATTCATATCTATCCTTGTCTTAGTTATTTTTCTCTTATTGCTGAGACAAAATTCCTGATGCCAAAGTGAAGCAAGGAAGGGTTTATTTATCTTACAGTTTTGGAGCTTTCAGTCCCTACTCAGCTGGCTCCAAGGCAGAGTGGTGTGGCTTAGGAGCAAACGTTCATGGCAGCCACAAACAGCAAGAGCAAAAAGGGCAACAGACAGAAAGCATGCCTCCTTCCAGCCCTTACATTGTATGCCAGCTCCCCACCTCTGGGAGGGTACAGCACTCACACTGCCAATCCTAGCAGTAGGCAATGAACCAATCGCAAATGCCAGATTCAGCCATTTTCATGATTGCGTGAGGCTTGTGGGGGCCTTCTGAACATAAACCATGACAATCCTTTTCCAGCATCTTTCCATATGTGTTCCTGGAGCCTGTATCTCATCTTCTATTTTTCTTCCTGTATCTTTTCCCCTCATTTTCCTCAAATGATTCACTGCTCTCCAGCAAACACTTGCTTAACCTGATTAGGATGAGCATCATTAGTCTTAAACACAGGTAATAGAAGTATACACTGGTGGAAACTTTAGAAAGAAAATTTTCCAAGATTTCCCTAAATTCTTTTTTTTTATTTCCCTAAATTCTTATAACTCAGTACTATAGAATTTGGCCCACTAATTCCATTTCTGAGGAGGTATCCTAACATGCACTGAAAATGCTAATACTCATTACTCTGTTATTCATACAAGTGAACCAGGTGGTCAACAATGAGGAAAAAAAAATAAAACAGATGCCAAACTTAAAAACAGAAGCACCATATCAAAATCTTAACGTGGTTATATCTGGATATCTCTGAGTTATATCTGGTTATCCCTAGAGTATCAAAAATTTTATTTTCTCCTTTTACCTATTGTACTTTTTGTAATGTATCTATGATAGAATCACAAAGAGTTTATCAAAATGGAAATTTCCATGCCCCTAGGCTAGGCAATATATATTTCTCTTTAACAATATACACACTCAAGAATGTATACATGGCACACATATATTTACATGGCACACAAGGCTTACAGTGTGTCAAAAAAACTACCTGGGATTATCGAGTTTTCTCACTAGTGTGTACTGTGTAATTTGTTTCTCAACTTATGTCAGTGTATCTCAACTTTCCTCTCTAATAAAAGCTCTATGAATTTTATCACAAAAAATAATGAGTGCAATCTACATTAACCTTTCACATTATAAATTTTTGAAGACTGTATCTTAGTTGTCACTACCTCTCACAGAACTCAACAGTGCCCAGCCTACAGCACGTGCTTAATAAATGTTTATTGAGTTAAATGACAATAGTTAACTCAAAGTTAAAGGATCAGATATATAGGTTCATCCATTTACAAGTAGAACTGAAGTCCAACTTTATTATGCTTGAATAGACTTAGACTTTACCTGAAGCAGTAAGCTCACTTCAAACTATCTTATTAATCATGTCAAATATAATTTTCAACCTAATTTTACCAGCTATTAAGACAACTAAAACAATGAGGTTATTTTCAGAATTCAGTGTTAATCATACAAATAATAATCAAATTGATCACAAGAATTTATTTATAAAATTAATCGCAAAACCAAATGAACACATGTATAAATAATATTTTTCTTATCACTAAATCTAAAGAATATCATAATGGGAGAAAATCAATAGGTAAGGCATTTGTTTATCTATATACTTGGGGAAATTTTGTTACTTAAGTTGGAATTAATAAAGAGGCAATACTCTCACTCACAATGATATCTGATTTAAGATGCTAAGTTGATAGTTTTTTATGCTGTCTTTTAAATTACAAAAAATATTGTGGTAAACAGCATTCAAAATCTACTCTCACACCAAATTTCCAGTACAGTGTTTGATAAAATATTAACTACAGGTCTCATGCTGCACATCTGACCTCAGATAATCATCCTGTATATCTTGCACAACTGTAACTTTAGTAAGTTGTTTGGCGATTTTGTTTTGTTTTGTTTTGTTTTATTGTTCTTGATGTTCTTTGGATGATTTGATTTTGATTTGTTTTTGGGTTTTGTTTGGTTTTGCTTTTTTTGTTTTGTTTTTGTTTTTGCTTGTATGTTTTGGTTTGGTTTTGGGTACTAGGGATTGAACACAGCACCTTACACATTCAAGGCAACTCCTCTGCCACTGAGCTATATCCCCGGTCCCAGTAATTGCAACCTAATACCCTTTACCTGTATCTCCCCATTCCTTAGACTGAACTCTCCACCCCTAGTGACCATCTTTTGACTCTTTTTCTGTGAATTTGACTCTTTTATTCTTTTCTCAAAATATGTGAGAGGACAGATATGCTAATTTACTTGATGATTGTAACAATTTTACTACATATAAACATTTTTTACAAATGACTTCATCTAATCCTTCCTGGTGATTATTTGTCATGTAAGGAGAAGTTACACAGTTGAAGAAGATTTTGCTGACTCAGCAAACTCTTCTTGCCAGAAGCATGTGTTAGGACCTTCACTGGGATAGTCTATGGTTGCTGGTTCAATTCTATGTTCAGTGCAAAGTTTCCTCCAGGGTTCCACAGGAAGGGCTCCCACACATTCTACAGGCTGACTGAAAGATGGGCTTCCTTTTACTATGCTTGTCTGACCTGTCATCCTCTTCTTAGAAACTCCCAAGGGACCATAATTCTCTCTTCCAAATTATCTTATTTCAAATACATGAATACACAAATCAGGCTACCTCAAGGTATGTCTTCTCCAGATCACATTTCACCATCCTCACTGCCAAATTCATCAATAACCCCATAAAAATGCAGTGCTCATAACTGATCACAAAAGAGGGGTTAGTGTTGTACCTAGCATGTTATTTGATCTGGCTGCTCTATTCATGGAATCCAAGCCTGAGTTATCAATTTTTTCTTTTTTTTAATATGGAATACTTCACAAATCTTTGTGTCATTCTTGCACAGTGGCCATGCTAATTCTCTCTGTATCATTCCAATTTTAATATATGTGCTGCCAGGGAGTTGGTTTTTTAAGACTTCGACTCATTCTTGGTTCACTTCAGGCTTGTGATCCTCTAACATTACCAGATTGTTTACATTTAAAACCAACATCAGTTCTCTTTCAACAAATAGTTTCAAAACTTAGTGGTAATTAATTTTAAAACCCAATATAAGATTTTTTCCCTTTGATCAAGAGTTTTAATATAGACCAATTCCACCATCAACAACAATGGCCAAACCTTCCAACTTAATATCATCCACAGACTTGATAAGTACACTGCTATTTGTTTTCATTTGCCAGCAAGGATATGTCTAAAACAAGAAGACCCTTGAGTAATGAGACTAAAGACTTTCCTTGAAGTCGATATTGATATATCACTCAATGTTTCTTAAAGTTATGGGTTCAAATAGTGCAAATTCCCTTGATTTCACTGTTATCAATCCTAAAATTCCCTATCATGAAACACTGTTAAATGCCTTGCTAAATTGGTACATAACTTTTCAGTAACATCCTCCTGATACCTCAATAATAACTATCAAAAGAGGAACTAAACCATTTGGTGATAATTGAAAAAACTGAAACAGACCCTTTGTGCCATGCTAAGTAAGAACATCAAATGATATGCTCACAGGTCAAGGGATACTGCAGCTCTCACCAGCATGTCGTCTTCAATGTCCTCGTTGTAGCTGTGATCAAAAAGTAATTTCTCCAGTTTTCTCTTTTATTCTAAAAAATATACATGGTTTTCAGTATAGTTAACACATATTAACAATCACACTATTGCCAAGCCCCCAGTTTTTATCTTCAGCACTGACTTAAATTCTGACTCTAATGATCAAATTCAAGTGGGTATTGTCTGTGAGTTTACTTCCATTCAGAAAAAAAAAAAAAAAAAAGGAAATAACAATAGTATATATTGCATGGGCAGGGTGGTAGGAGGGGAACTCACCTGATGGGTAAGTTTGGAATAAGTAAAGAGTGCCGGTAGCTCTACTCATTCTTTTGTCCTTCCTTCCAAGAGCCAACCTGTGTGCAGGGAACAGATTCTCAGTTGTACTCAGTGGGCAAAGGAGATACGGTGGACTGAGTACTTCTAGGGGGTGATCTGTAATTTGGAAGTTCAGTATCGAGAAATCTCCTTGCTCCTCTAGTAAGTCACATCCTGGATGTAATGGTAGTAATAAGGTAAGAATATTTCAATCTCCAACTGCCAACCCTTTCGTCTTATGTCTTGATTGATTAGAACACCAGACAGAATGTAGATGCCTTCAGGTTCATCAAATATGTGTAACAGTACACTTGGAGGGGGCATTCTTCAGCCAAGGATGCCAGTTAGAGCAGTCCCAAGATGGGATAGAAATGGTTCCTTTCTAGTAACGCTACTCTACTCAGTTGCATGATAAAAACAGTCCAACAAAGTGTCGCCTTGGTGTGAATGCCACAGTAGATCCAAAAGCATGACAGCTGAAGCAGCTATCAGTCAACATTATTTCCATGATAGGTCTCTTCCCCACTCTTTATTTCAAAGGTCTTACAATTCCAAGAGATAAGTAAGTGTGTGTGTGTGTGTGTGTGTGTGTGTGTGTGTGTGTAACTTAATGGAGATAGATAAGTATTTCTACATTTCTATAGAGATGTATGTAGTGAAATTATACATGTATGATATACTTGAGGTATTTTATGTAAGCTTTAGATGCATATAATATTTTCACACAAAAGTACAGAGAAAGATTAGGCTGTATCAAGTCAAGTTGTATATTGGGAAAATTCCCAAATTTGTTGACAGATTGAGAAAGAAACACTCTTAAAATGGCTAGTTTCCAAATTTTATAGAATTTATGTGGAATATAAAAGATAACAAATGCAAATAAGCCTTATATATTGGAAACTCCAGACACATTAAGTTTTATTTTACCATTATACCAAATGCCAACCAATTTCCAGGTGTTTCTATTCAGCTTACCCACACGTATTTAGACGTAACCAGTAAGAAACCAAAAGAACTAAGAGGATGGGGACTCATAAAAGCTTAGCATAATTATCAAAATATGTGAGGTTATATATTAGTGGATGTAGCCATTTCAAAAACTATCAGCCATTCAAATTGGACTGTAGTTCTAGAAATAAACTTGTAGAACTACAGTAGAAACAAAGTAATAAATATTAATAAAATGAGATGGGCTTGTAATAATCCCAATTAAAACCCAGGCTTTATACTAAAGGATGTCTGTATTCCACAGAGAACTGTGAATTCTCCTTCTCTCCCTATCTTGATCCTCAGCCATTTCTTTACTGTGCAGCACCTCTAGGACTCTGCTGAAAGAATTATGAAACATTTCTTAATGTAAGTTAGTCTTTCATTACATAATTGGAATTCAACTTTTAAGTGCAGAGGACCTGATAACCCACACTAAAAGTTATACAACTGGTATTAGAGACTCTCTGGGAGCCAGCAGTATTAACGAGGACCAACCTACACGCTGGGGGAGAGGGATGGCCAGTGTCTCTGGGGAGGGAGGTAGACTTGGAAACCTCAACTCCTAGAGACAAGAAGTGGGAAAATAAGGTGGTGAGGACTGGGTGAAGAAAAGATATACTCAAACAAGTGGACGGCAAGGATTCAAGGAGACATTTGCACACTCTTCAGGCTTGGATATGATTTGAGTTTGTTCTCACATGTTCACGTGCCAGGAATGTGATCTCCACTACGGTGGCACTGAGATCATGGAAACTTTGAGAGGTGAGTCCTAATGGAAATTTGCTAGATCGTTGAAGGTATCACCCTCACATATTATTCAGCCTTTTAAGAAAGAAAATTCAGATATGCACCATGACATAAGTAAACTATGAGTGTAGCATGCCAATAAGCCAGTCACAAAGAGATAAATGCATAAATCCACTTATCTAAGGCACCTAGTGATATAGGACCTGAATATGTGATATAAGGGAAATATAACTCCCAACCTGCTGGATGTCAGACATACCAAGTTTGGGTTCCCCAAAATCAAAGAATGAATTCTAAAGACAATGGAGGTTAAGAATAGGAAATTTTATTGAGGAAGAGACAGCTCCTAAAAGACAGGAGAGGGCCTACGTGGGTTGTCAGTGAGTCTACTTCCCAAAGAAAGTTTTATAGGGTAAAATCCCTAAGTGGGTACAATGTGGACATACTATGATCAACCTGTAAGATGACAAGCATAACCACTTAGGTGATATTAATCCAGTGGGGGAGTGGGTCACACAGCAAGTGTATGTGGAAAGAGGAAGGGGCTTTTCTGGAAGAGATGAGTCAGGAGGTCCTGGTCATCCACCTGGGTGATTTTATTAGACCAGGTGATACCAGTTACAGTATACCACTTAACCCTTAGGGAGGCCGTAGGCCTGGTCATTCCGTCTTTAGCCTGAAGCCGGGCCTTCAACAGATGCCCCTCCAGTCACAGCAGTAATGTGTTTTCATCCTCTGCACTGACTCCAGCGAGAGCCCAGCCCCATCTGACTGTCTATAATAATTTTTACCTAACTTAGCTGTCTGTAATATTAGGACAGCCAAATACATAGAGACAGAAAGTAAAATGAAGGCTGCCACGGGCCCCATGGAAAGAGTTATTGCTAACAGGGATGGAATTTCACTTTACAACATCAAAAGCTCTGAAGATGGATGGTGGTGATGACTGTACAACAATGTGAATGTATTTTTAAAACACTGACTGTGTACTTAAACACAGTCATGCTGGTAGATTCTGTTACATGTATTTCTCCACATTTAAAAATGTAAGCATAAGCTGGGTAGGATGCTGTACTCCTGTAATCCCAGCATTGTGGAAATCTAGGGCAAGAGGGCTGCAAGGTTCAAGACTTGTCTGAGCAACTTGGTGACTTGGCAATAACCTGTCTCAAAACTAAAAAGGACTGGGGATGTAGGTTCGTGTAAAGGCCCAGGGATAAATCCCAGGATTGCAAAAAATAACATATAAATACTAAATATACATTTTATATTTTAATTAAATTGAAACAACTTCTACACTGTAGAAAAAACAGAAATGGGTAGCAAATTTTGTGTGTACTATGTCTTTGCCTAAGTCTTGTCCTATGTTAGCCACCAAGCCATCAGAAGAAATCAAAATTTTTTTAACATTCACATAAGTATTATTCATGCTAGCACCATCATTACTGCATTAGAAACTAAAATTAATAGCAGGTTGTATTAAATGTGTGTTTAAAATAACAAAGCAATTTTTAAAATTAACAAATGAACTTTTGCTACTCAAAGTGTGGCCTGAAGATTGCAGCATCAGCTTCTGAAAGTGTGGTAAAATTACAGAACCCAGGCCCGCAGACCGACAGAACCAGTCTGCTTTTTATACAGTCCAGGAGATCCAATTGTCCACCAAAACTTGAGAAGCATTGTCATAAAATTTTGATAACTGCAAATAGAGCAAAAAATAACTCTCAGTTGGTTAAAATGGAAAGAAAACAAGGCATTATTGTAACATGAGTTTAAGAAAAAGGTACATACTTTACTATTTTTGTATTCTTAAAAATATGTAAGGCCAAATCCATTTATTACCTTTTACACAGAAAATGCTTAAACTGAACCACAAGTTTGGTTTAACGCGTCAGTGACTGTTCTTTGAAGACTAGCAGCTTTCATAGAAGTAAATTGATTTTTAAAAAGCCAAGAGCTAAGGACAGAGCTCTTACTAAGTGACTGGTGGTAGTCTTGGTAGATTTACGTTCCAAGAACTCATCATTACAGCAGAACTAATGCATGGTATACCAATAAGCTTGCCAGGGAAAATACTGACCCTCATAAACATTCAAGAAAAATAAAATTCTGGTCTCTAGTAATGTGAGAAAAACCACTAATACCCACAACCAACTGAATTCACTTAATCAGATTAAACTAATATGGAGACAGGACAGACCAGAGATCCCAATGTGTTCTTTTAATATAAAAGAGGAAAGAAATTGACAAATGAAAGTATTCAAAAGCACAAAATATGGAATAAGAAAGACAAAATATGTGTTTGGATTAAGAAAGTCGTCTCACTGGGATTTTAAGTGACTTTATTCTAACGTTGTCCCCTCAATACTTCTGAAGCAGTGTGGTTCAATACTAAGTTATCATTTAACACTTACCACACCAAAAAATGAATTTCTGATAGGAAGATAAAAACCAGTAGCTATATAGCTAAAGCAGAGGTGACTGGGAGAGAAACAGAGTTTGATACTGTCTCTAATGCTAGGGCATACTTGCCTGGGAAACTTTTTTTCCTTAATAATACTCTTGAACAGTTATTGGAATCTCTGCCTAATTTTATTTTTTCCTTCCAGAAAATTTCCATTCACCCTGGCTTTTGCAACTGTAAAAGTGAGTAAATTTGACTCAACAAAATCAAGTATTATATTATAAAAACAACCCAAAATCAAGGGCTGGGGACTTAGCTCAGTGGCATAAGCACCTGCCTTGCAAGCAGGTGGTTGTGAGTTCAATCCCAGGTTCCATTTTAAAAAAAAAAATCAACTCAAATTCTGGCTTGTTGTTTTTGAAATTGACATTAATTTTAAGTAACAATTTAGAAACCCCTAGAAGTTTACATCAACTCATCAATAGCAAAATCATTTTTAAATAATTTTAAGTGTTTTTACGAATGAGGCAAAAACATCTTTAAACCACTGTACCACTTGGCACATTCCCCATGTCCCCTGGTGTCCTTGTCACCTAACCCACATCCCAGGGCAGCACCACAGGTGAGATATTGGCTCCTGTTTTCTGGATTGAGACCTTGACATCTTAAAACCTGCTCTGGCCTGGGATTCACAGATGAGATCATAAGAGGTGGATGCATTACTCTTGCAAATATCTCACTCTTATTTCACCAAGTGTAACAGTAGTTAACATTCCACTGAGGAAAAACAAGGAACTTAATAGGGGAGAAAAGGTATAAGACTCCCCAAGCCACCCTCATGTTGAGACAAATATCTGCAGGCTTCAGCAACTGTCAGCTGAAGAGATTTGAATAGTAAATGCTTTTATCCCAGAAGAAAGCCTTTGACTCTGGGGCAAAGGCGTACAGCTGAGCTTACTGGGCTGGCCTGCATTAAATGCCTGCTCATCTCTCTCCTCCCCAAACAGGGATCTACTGGAAGCCAGAGGGTGTTCACCTTCACCATGAGCTGAACAGAATGCACCTTTCAAGGGAAGTTGCTTCAGGAGCCCTAGCAATCCAGAATATTCAAAGGAACTAAAAAGCCTCAAAAGGGTGTTCCTTTCCTGAAAAGAAGGTTTGAGACCCCCATATACAGCCTGAAATGGAAGGAAAATGGGCCCAGGGAGTTAGAAGAAAACCATTCCAAAACCCACGTCATCAAATAAACAAGATATTATATTTGATTTCCCTTCAAATTATTTCAACTTTGTCCAACCACGTGAAATTGATTCCATGATAGGCAAACAGCCTTAATAGTCTCCTTAAGCTATTTTTACCTCAGTCTTGAACAGCTAAATTTATATGTCCTTCCAAATGCAAAACTAAATCTGGGGATACAGCTCAGTGACAGAGTGCTAGTCTAGCAGGTACAGAAGAGGAAAAGAAAGCAAAACTAGAACATTATAAGACTTCTCGGGTAGCCCCCAGTGACCATTAGCAGCACTTGAAAATACACAGAAATATAGAAAAATAAAAGGCACATTTCACAGCCACCAGCTGTTTAATCTAGCCAGGGACAGCTATTTGCTCAGCAAACACTGGATCTTTTAGAACAGTATCAGTTTTATTCCTTTTTGAAATGCTATATAAGGCGTAGAACTCTACAATTTGCACATTAAGCAATTTCCATCTTAAGTTTAAATATATTTAGGTGATAAGAAAAGGTACATGCATATGAATATATAGAATTTTTAGAAATCATCCTTATTTACATTAAAATTTTCTTTATACAAACATTTTAACTTTAAAAAAGAATAAGCATATGGCAAGAACCATCTGAGAAGGCAGCAAATCCACCTTTCCATTTAAGCAGCCTTTCACTGGGAGCCGTGAGTGATGGCAGATGAAGGCCTCTTAAGAATAGACTCAACCGAAAATGACAGCGGTTCATTCACGGAGAGCTTTGTTCCAACTTGTTTGGCTACAAAAAGGTCTTTCGCACATCTATCTATTGTAAATGTGTATTTCTGGTTCTCCTTGACCAAACACTCTCGGTGTTTCTTTGGGGCCTCTTCGAAAGCCTCTTTGACAAATGGTGTTTTCAGCTCAGGACCTGATTTGTCATTAAGCGTTTGCTGGAATAAGGAGTGGAATGGATTATTTTTAAGTGGCAGAAGGTGCCTCATGTTTTCTTTGCTGATCTTGGTTAAGACGTGCCCTTGAGCTGCCAGGGAGTCCGAGTCAACAATGGGAGAGAAATTCCGTTGGGGTGGGGAGAAAGCAGACCTCTCAGGGATGGTTTGGTGACCCTGAAGGTCGCTCCTGGAGGTCTGGACCTCCGGAGGGTGAGGCAGTACCACGGAGCTCTCCAGTTTCGGTGGCATCGTGCTGTGATCTGCACTGAGCCCATCCAGGACCCTTGTTCCCTTCAAGTCCCAGCTGCCCGCAGGTTTCAGGGCTTGAACTGATGTGGTGGCATTTAGAAGGCATTGTTGGTAAAGAAGGGTGTCACTAACAGGGCCGCATTTGGGCCAAACTAAAAATCTTGAGGACAAAGGATATTGCCGGTACGTTGTGGCCACACTAACATTGGAGGAAATCAGTTCCATATTCCCAGATCCTGAATACTGCATGGTGAGATCAAGGCAGGTAGGCAAAAAATTGCAGAAGTCCTTACTGGGCAGCTCCCCTGGGGTGTGGCTGTAGGCACTTTTGCAGGAGCTGTATTCGGGTCCTGGCACAACACGGTTAGGCAAGAACAAAGCAGCTGCTTGGGAAGTTTCCAGCATCTCCCTCTCTTTATACTCTCTCTCCAGCATAATATTCTCCAACTCTTTGTCAGCAAAGGCCCTTCTTTTTCTCATTCTGTCACTAACTGGGGGAGGCAGAGGTAGGGTTCCTCCTAGGTAAGTCTCCGCTGTTAAAGGGTGATAGCCTAAAATAAGCAAACATTGCACAGGAAACAATTAAATCTAGGGAAGAGAAATCTGGAAATTTAGAAAGCAAAAGAAACCATAAATTGGCAGGATGAATGATTACAGTTCTATATCACTAATACTTTCATGCAGGAAGCAAAAGTATAGATTTGGTGTAAAATAATTCCTTTTGAAGGAAGGATATGCACACTGTAGTGTTTTGTTGCAGTTTTTATTGATACAGGTTTGTCTGCTCTCTTGTTAGGACAAATGTACTTTATCCACTAAGATTTTATGATCCTTCCCAAGTCCCTACATATTAAGAGACAAAGCTGCCCATCTTGCTTCAATCAACATTTTATTATCCTTGTCATCTTTCCATTATTAAAAAAGATATCTATACCTAGAGCTGATGTCACTTTTATTTTCTAAAGATGGCTCATTATGTACACATTGTTACAGTTGTAGAATAATCCAAGGAGAACTAGGAAAAAAGAGAAAGAAGTTATAGGAGATTAGTTCAGAGAAAAAGAAAAAAAAAAGACTTAAGGAAACAGAGAAGCATAGAAAATTGGAAAGAGCTGTTAACTAGTCAAATGCTCTGCAGTGAACAATTTAGCTGGGCCTTACCCTTGACTACAGCACAAATAAAGCAAAACAAAACAAAATGTTGGGGAGGTGGATAATTTCTTGCTGCTTTGAAAATAACAGGTTTAATGCATTTTTCCCAAGAGACAATAATGTTGGCCAGATGCCCAATGGTTGAACAAGTAACAATTAGAACACAGATTAAATCATCCCCCCTTTCATGAATAAAGATGAAGTCAAAAACAAAGATTAGCATAACATAAATAAAATTCCTAGCTGCATAAAATACTTTGAGCATTTCATCATTCCCAAACACTCACCACTACCAAGTTTGTTTGAAGGATCCATTGTGATATTTGTGTTTACATTGTGACAAGCCCATCACACTCATTTGCAAATAAAATAAAATTTGAAAATGAATGTTTCTATTTCTATGGTATGTGTTTGGCAGGAAGCTATTTACTTGAATTTACGATTCAATTTAGTCCAAGAACTTCTCAAGTTGCTTTGCCAAAATTTCAGTTTATCAATGTGGCCTCTATAGTTATAAATCTGTTTACCAAATTCATTTTCAATTCTTGAGAATCCACTCTCAGCTCAGAAATGCACAACGGAGGATGAGACACAAACTTCAAAACTGTCTATATCTAACTAAATTCACAAGCTAGCGAAGAAAACACAAAGCCCATATATCTGATTTAAGAAAAAAGAATCTACAATCTGAACTTTATGACACGTCAGTGATTAAAACAAATACAAAGTCTGTTTTAGTTGCATGGAAGATAAACTTTAAAAAGTTAAAGAAAAATGGTATAGTCAATATATTATTTATCAAGTCAAGAAATAAGTTACTCAAATAGAGATGCTCTGGAAAATCAGTAATATTTTACCAAACTTCAAGTCACTCTGTGCTGTAGAGAAAGTAAAAACTTGGAAGAATTTGAGACTTCGCAAAGCTCAAATTCAATCTCTACTTTCCTCGGTTGATTCAAATCCTTTTTGGGATTCTACCATAGCTGTCTGAAATGCTCAAAAATGAAGTGTGGAATAACAGCAATCGTCTAGATATCTGGGGAGGAAAGTACCAGGAAAAACAGTCAGTCTGAGGTTGAAGCCATGGACTAGAGATCCTACTCCCAGGCTTATTGGTTAAAGCCCTCCGCTCTCTGGCCGCAGGGTATCCACTTAACGGCTGCTATCAGTGAGGAAGTGTGTACATTCAATTTATCACTCCACATCTGCTCCAGGGTCACTTGGCAATGGGTTTTTGTACGCTTTCTCGCAAATTTTACCTGCGCTCCACCTTAACTCATTAACTATTCAGCAAATGACACAAGCAAGCATTCATATTCTTAAACTGATGGGTTCAGAAACCTCAGCAGATGAGATTAATTTTCTGGGAGTCTACTAAAAGTAACTTCCGCTCACAAGTTCATAAATACATCTAAATAATAAGAGTCATTCAACTCAATTTCAAAGGCTAAAAGATAATTTCATGTTGCTTTACCTTCTAAAATGCTTTTGGCCAGCAAACTAGGTGCCCTGACTTGCCTCTGGTACAGTGCTTTGCGCTCGAAATTATTCTGTTTCCCAGAAAGCCCTTTCTTGTCCTGTAAACACAAGAAACATAATGAATAATTCCTTGAAGACACTTTAACAGGGAAGGGAGAAGGTAGGGACCGAGCCTAAATGTATTTATTTTCTCATCCTGTGTGAAAAATGATTTTAAACAGAGCTTTGAAATCCCAGCAGTCTGGGAGGCTGAGGGAAAAGGATCGCAAATTAGAGTCCTGCCTGAGTAACTTAGCGATTTATGGAGGCCCTGCCTCCAAAAAAAAAAAAAAAAAAAAAAAATTAAACACTTGATCTTTCAGTGCAAAGGCCAGAGCACGAAGTGAAGTCTCTGAAACTGGCAAATGGTGAGCGCCCCTCCCTCCCAGCAAAATGTCACCCTACACTGGCCATCAGAACACCTGTGACCAGAAGTGAGGAGCTTACAGCGAAGGAGGTGGAATTCAGGGCAGTGAAAGAGGCCCAGCTTGAAGGGAAGACTCTGGGGACACCTCCGCCGGGGGCCCCCCCATTGGCGTGAAAGTGCCCGCAGAGTCGGGGCTCCGTGGAGAAGGCTGAGGGCACTAGAGAGTGCGGGGTTGGAAAAGAAGCTCCGGGTCCTGAAGCAAACTCCTTTCCCCACCGGAGGACTGGGGCGCTAGATCAAAACTACGCTGGGGGGCAGCCAGGAACTCAGAATAAAGGAGCTCCTGACCTCCAAGGTCACCGCCAGCTCACCTGGCTGCTTGTAACCCAGAGCCAGCGATCACCCGGGCGCCCGACACCCGAGGATGAACCCCAAACCCGGGCCACCTTGGGGTCCTGCGCGCTCTCCTGCGCTGGGGGGGCGGGGCGGCTCTTCTTTGAAATCTCTGACTCTGGTGTGCCGGTAACGCACTTCCCAGCTCCTCCAAAAAATGCAATCAAAAGTCCTCTCCAGGCTAGTCCTCCCTAGGAGAAGGAAGCTAGAGCTTCCATCCCCAGCACCTCAAAAGGCAGAAACAGAAACCCCTGGGTGAACGGAGACGCTCGGAGGCTTGGGATGCACCTCAGGGGTACAGCGCTTTCTCTGTGTAAGTGAGGTTGTGGTGTTCTAGCCCCAACACCAGAAAATTAAAATATGAAAATCTCCCTTGCTGAGCCTGGAAAGAGGCTCCCTGAAGCCTTAATCGGGCACCCCGCGTGCAAACACATAGAAATACAAAGTAGAGGTTCACAAGCCGCGACCTTAAAGAAAACCCCAGCTCTCCTCACAATCCGATCCTCCTCGGATTCTTTGGCTGTGAGCAACTAACACCCTACGCCCGGCCTTTCAGTCTCACGGGTAAAATGGGCTGCGACCTCCGCCTGGCTCCAAAGGCCCAGGAAGGAAAGCAGAAAGCAGCGCTTTTTGGAGCCCAGCGCTAACCGTGCCGCGGTAACACGACACTCCTCAGAGCCCCGGACCTCTAGCAAAATTAACTTGGGTGACTTTCTCGCACAGTCCCAAATAGGCCTAACTACTTTCACAGCCCTCGTCCTCCTCCCTCGGTTTCTACGATGCAAACTTGGGCCAAGCTCCCAGCGCTGCCCTCGGCCCTCCCTGCGTCCTAACCCTGCAGTGGTTAGGAGGTGGCCGGCGCCGCTGGCCGGAGCGCGGGTGGCCCCACTCCCCGCCTCCCCGCCTCGCGCGGAGGCTCGGCCGCTGGGGACGCACCTCGGTGGCCTGCTGCCTCCGGAGCGCCACCTGGGCGGCCATGACACGCTGGCGCTCCACCACCAGCAGGCAGTTGGCGCACTGGCAGTCCCGCCAGCGGCAGAAGCGCTTGTGGCCCTTGAGGCAGGACACCACGCCGTGGTTGCGGCAGCGCGCGCACTTGGGCGTGCGGCTGAGCTTGCGAGGCTCCGCGCCGCCGCCCGCGTTCGCGACGCGCTCTGCGGGCCCCGCCGCGGCTGGCTGGGCGCGAGGCGTGGCCGGCGGCCTCGGCGACTGTCGCTCCCGCTGCTCCGGCCCGCCCGGCGCCCCGAGGGATGCGCCCGCCTCCTCCCGTTCGCCCTCTTCCTCTGCGTCTTCGTCCTCCTCCTCCTCGTCGTCCTCGTCGTCCTCGCCGTCCCCATCGGCCATCGGCGGCGCCCCGCAGCCGTCCTCCTCCAGCTCCAGGCTCTCCACGTCGATCTCCCAGTCCCCGGCCCCCGGGCCTACGAGCCGCTCCGCCATGGCGCGCGGGGCCTCCACGACTCCGCTTCCCACACCCTGGGGAGACACAGAGAGCCCCCACGACCCGCGCGCCCGTCAGGGACCGTGCCTGCGCCTCGGGCGCCGAGCTATTGGTCAGCCACCCTCTTCCCTTGAGTTCCCGTTCTCTGCGCGTCCTTACACCACAGGCGTCTTCCGTGCATCTCTCAGGGCCTCAGGGATCCACAACCAACAAAGATTTTATTTTATTAGTTCCAAGTGCTCTGTGAGCACCTGACCTTTAACCGCAGCCCTCTCTGGCTTTACACGCCTTTCTGGACAAGTCTCTTAAGTAATTCACTGACCTCACAATGTATTGTGTCCAACTAGGCCGGCTAGGCCACTTGTCAGACTTCCCCTTACCCACTGCCCACCGCCGTCATAAATATACAAATGTCGGTAGAGGGATGCTTTCCTTTGGTGGCAAGGACCCTCCAGACCATTCTATGCTGGCTAAAGGCCTCTCGGCCAACATCACCCTAAGAACCGTGGCCTTGAAAAGGTCTTCTACTCCCCACCCTTTAGTACAGATAATGCACTAAAAACACTCTGCTGTCCTTCAAGAACCAAGAGACAGGCAGAAAGCAGCCGATGTCCGCGCCTCAATAGCACAGCACTTAGACTCGACCGCTGGGTCAGGCATCCAAATAAAGCAGAAAAGGTAAAGAAGTTCCCGATCTTTGCCTCCCGAGACCCTACCCGAGGGGCATCATAGCACTCACCGAAATTTTGACACCCGGGCTAGCAGCCGAGTCAAAAGACTTGCAGCTTTAGGATCTGGCTCTCAGGTTGCAAACCGTGCATGCACACGGAAATCGGGATCGCCACCCTTTGGCGCAAAATCAGATCTGACAGCTGGAGGCCCAAAGCTCCCGGGACGGTGGGGGAGGAGGGAAGAAAGGGAGAGGAGAGGAGTCAAGTCCTCCAAAAACTCGCTCGGCGCATCCCGAACTCTGCCAAGTTCCAATCGGGCCCCTGCGGCCCGGGGCTTCGCACTTCACCGAAGCCGCTTTCGGCCTCTTCTGACACAAAAGGGGCCGAAAAGGTTGGGCAGCCCCGGCCTGTCTCGGATCGCTGACCTGGGCTCAGATCACGGGCTCTCAAGACAGACTCACGCAGCTGCGTTCGGCGGCGCTGCGCCACTAGCTCTGGTCTCCAGCCGCTGCTCCCCTTCCTAGTATTAACCACTCGGGCCCCTGAGCTCCGCGCCCTCTGATTGGCCGGTTGTCAGACGGTGTGCGCGCTGATTGGGCGAGGCGCGCCAACGGGCGTCTACCTCCTCCCTGCCACCTCCACCCTGCGGCGCTCCGGCGAGTCCGCGCCCGCTGAGCCTTCGCTGCAGCCGGGTCTCTCGCGCTGAAGCTAAACCTGAAATAGGACGGCGCCTACGGTGGGGGAAAGAAGATTCATGTCGAGGGCCAGGGAACACTTAGAAACACTCTTACGAATCGCGTTGTCCGCAAGAGAAGGTAATAAATGAAGAGGCAAAGATCAGAAAGACTAGCGTTGGCCTCCATTACCACACCTCCAGTGTTTCTGCCACTCAGCAGTGGGCCCAAAGCTGGGTGCAGAGACGAGGCCACTGCAATGGGCGCACAGGCATTGCCTTCTTTCTCCTGTTAGAATAAACCAGTAGTTACTTTGCACGACAGCGCTTAGCATAGAAATGACCTGCAGACACCTTTACAGACACCGAAGCTAGTCCTCAAGGTGCAAGGTGGCAGTTTCTTGTTAAGGTTCCTAGAGCTTGTGAGGCAGCTGGCCAAGTCAACTACCAGTCACTTGGGGTTTACTGCTAAGTCGATATCGGTTACTGCCAAATTTGGAGAGGATAGAAGTACATCCCATTAAGAAATTTAGGTTCAATATATTCCCCCTAATCATGTAAAGCTCTTCATTAGAAAGACGATTGCTTTTTAGTACGCATGAATGCTTTCAAAGTTTTCTTCCCTCTTCCTCAAAAATCCTTCGCAAAAACATTTAAAACAAAATTAAATTTCCAGCAATCGAAAAGAAGGCATTAGCCCCCTAAGTCGGCTCTGTATTCTGTTTCTTGGGCTAAATTTAAACACATATGGATGCTTTTCTAGTTGCACTTTTAAACAATCAAGCCCTCTTAAATAGGATCGGTTTGGGAAACAGATGAGGATATTGGCTGCTACTGTATTGAGCACATAGTGTGTCTGCAATAAATATTTGCTGAAGGAAGGAAATTGCTGGATGGACTCAAACATTACTTTTCTCTGACTCTCTCATCAGGATTGTAGACTTTAACCTGGCTCAGAGATGAGGGGACAAAGACAGCCAAGGAATTATTGTGAAATTAAGCTACCTGCCCTAAGCGTGGGTACCTCTGCCCGGGAGCTGTGGAAAGGTCTTTCTGGTGAGGAGCGCTGAATTCCCAGTTGTGTGGTGACGCTCCCAGAGCTGCCTGCGAGACTGGGGAAGGCGGCAGAGGAATCCTAGGCTCCGGTAGACTTTCTAGTCGTCCCAGGAGCCTCACAGGGTGTGATGTGAGAGCACTGGGTTCGTGCTGGCTCGAAAGGGTGTTGAGAACCTTAGCTGCCTCTTGCTTGGTACCATCTAATAGCAGAGTTTTAGCTTCCCTTCAACTTCTTATCCCTTCAGAGCGCATTGCTTTCACTTACGTTGGATTCTTGACCACAGAAGAAATGTGTTTTTATCCCCGGTTTTTCCATGACCAAACTGAGGTTCAGAGAGGAACCCAGAAAAGTCAGTTTGGAGAATGCCCTGGACTGGCAGGAACGGCTTCTGCCCTGAAGTCTCAGAAAATTTGCCGACCCCTAGCTACTAGCCTGGGTTTTTTTTTTAATTAATTTTTAAATTTTTATTTTGCTCCCATTTGTTCATTCGTTCATCCCGCCTGACTCTAGTACACCTGCACTGGGAAAGAAGCCCTCCTGTAAGGCACCTGGTCCTTTTTTATTAAATCATTCTGGGGTTTGACATCTCCCCTGCTAGTTGCTGTGTTTTTTTTTTGTTTTGTTTTGTTTTGTTTTGTTTTGGTTTTTTTTTTATCGGTACCGGGGATCGAACTCATGACTGCCTGCTTGCAAGGCAGGCGCTTATGCCGCTGAGCTAAATCCCCAGCCCCTAGTTGCTGCCTTTCTACTTTGGCAAACAGGCGATCCAGGTCTTCTGTTGCAGCCTGGAAGCAAACCCTAATTCCCCACTGTCTCCACAGCTGCATGTGTGACAAGTTGGCAGGCTGTGTTTTATTTGTTGCTTTGACAGCTTAGTGTGAGAGTAAGGAAATGAAATCATCAGCCCTTCACCTGTAATTTTAAATATTAACAAAATAAAAAAATCTAGGTTGGCTATTTTTGGGTAACGAGAGAAAAAAAGGAGGCACTTCGGAGGGAATCAGGGTTTTTTTAATTTTTAAAAAAGCAAAACAGAAAAAATAATACAGAATTTCAAAAAAGTAAAAAATCAGTTAATATATTGCATATTGTTATCTTACAAGTAGTTGTTCAGGTTACAAGATCTGGGCTTAGGGAATCAGATCTTAAAACTGTGTCAGCAGCACTTTCCCAAACTGAAAGTAAACTATGAGAGCTGTGAAGCCTGGAACCCGTTTGAACTTTAAAAACTGTACAAGGAGAAAACAAACAGAATCTGTGTACAGTAAACTGTGGCAGCAGAAGCCAAGAAGGGAGATAGGACAAGGTGGCCTGGGAATGCTGGCAGAGAGGACTGGCTGTCCCCACCAGCCTCCAGCTGTGCCTTTTGGGGGGAGGAGGCTGTGCCCCAGGGGCTCAAGAAGCTCGACCCTTCAGCTACACCATGATGGGTTCATCTCTCTGCCCTCAGTGAGAACTCACAGCACAGTCTCACTGCTCCTTCCAAGCATCTCTTGGTCTCCAGGTACCATCCTTCCCTCTCCAGTCTGGTGCTCCATGCAGCCGTAGTGCTAATCTGCTGAATTATATGCCTTCCCTGGAATGACTTTCCACTCTGAATGTGAAATTCTGCGTATTTTTTTCTAGGGTTGTAAAACAAAAAAATGATAGCTACACAGACTGTTTAGTAAACAATGTTCAGAACAAATAGGAGTCAGACAGCCTGGGCTCCAACTGGCTGTTCCACTGGCTACCTGAGCTGATCACTTATTTTTCTGTGCCTCAGTTGCTTCATCTGCACAATGGGAAAAGTAGCCTTTTCTGGCCTTCTTATTATGAAGCCCGGGTAGTAATGAGGATAGAGTATCCTTCCATTGCAGGAAGGACACAGACATTCCTTTCCTCACGTGGTAGTGCTTGCACCCCAAGGAAAGGCCTGGCTGCAGGAGCCTCCAAGGCTTAACTGAAAGAGGAGGGTAAAAGAAAATCCAGCTCCCCTCCCTCGGTCTCTCTCTTAAGAGGGGTCAGGCCCTGACTGAGGACCTGTTATGTAAGGAAACAGAAGTCCTTTTGGCTTGTAAACTGACACCAAGTTATAAAGCACAATTGGACCCCCCTCTTGTAAATTACAAAGAGTGGGGCTGACTCAGCCTGCAGAACTGCATGAGGGCAGCCAGCAGGGTCTGCTTCTCTCCCAGATGGCTCAGGAGCAGAAGCTGGGGTCTCTTCCTGTGCACCCCATCCAGTTCCCCCCAGATCACTCCCAGCCTCCGCCCTTTCCCATCCCTGCACTGCCTGACCCATCTGGGGAGAAACTCTCCTTTAGCAAGTCAAGCCAAGAAAACTGAACAACAAAACCAGAAGGGAGCAGAGTTCTTTTTCTTTTTGTGTACGGTGTCTTTGTCTTCTTTTTTGGTCTTGACTCTTCTTGAAAAATAAAAATGAAGAACAGAAGGGTGTTTCACGCAGCTAGCTGGGCCAGTGAGTCCCACTCGGTTGACCTGGGGGCCCCACAGCTCAGCTCCACTTCCTGCGTGGCCACAGGGGCTCCCCAGCTTCTCCAGCCTGGCCCTGCCGCCTTCCCCCTGGAGCTGAGGACTTCAGCGACAGTTCAGCTTGATGGCTCGATCACTGGGTCCCATGGGTCACTGGGGTGTGGGGATGCTGAGAAGACTCCTTTGCCTTCCTCTTTGCAAAGGAGACTTCACCTTAAAGAGGTGGCTCCCTGACGCGGTGGCCCACCCACACTAAGCACTCAACACTTGACAACTAATTGTATGATTTTATTGTTATTTTGTCTCAGCGACATGACCTGTAGAGAGTTCTAAACCTGGGGGGCACTCAAAGCCCAGTTTTTTCCTGACCCTGCCCAATCTCACAGCTTCCCACCTAGATGAGGAAGGGGCCAGTAGGAACTCTCCTCTTCCCTCACCAGCTGATGTCACCACCCTAAATCAACCATCCCAGCTCACAAGGAGCCAGTCAGGACTGGTATGTGGGAACTTTGGGGTATGTTGGCACAGGGGTTCTGCTGCAGCTACTAATGTCTCTGGTTCCTCCAGAGATGACCCTGAGTGCACCTCCTCTCATGGAAGACACTCCTCACATTGTCCCCTCAGGACTGTGACCTGCTGCAGACCCGAGGAAATAAATAATCCCAGATGGGACTGCAGAGATATGATTTCTCAATTTACTTTGCGAAACCAAATATATGACCTGTCACAGTCAATGGGGGTGGAGGTGAAGGAGAGGAGCTTGTGAGAGATAACAGTTCCTCACCAGGCTGTTAGAACTGCTCCTCCCTTCCCTGCTCTGTGTGCCCCAAAAGCAAAGGATCCTTCTGTCCAGGCTCTCCACGGTGGGAAGCAAGGTTTAAATCAGAGACACTGAAACTGAAAGGGTCGCTTAGTCCATGCCTGTACATTTACAAATGGGAAAAAAAAAAAAAAACCTGAAACTCGGAGGAGCCAATGGAGGACATCTGGGACCCAAAAGGCCACAGTTAGTTCCCCTCCAGCTCAGTGCCTTCACCGTTTTTTAAATGCACTTTGGGCCACGTGGAGCAGAACCAGAAGCAGGGACTGTGCAGCAATCCTGCCTGCACTTGCCTAGGGTCTCTCTGCCAGCCTGCCGCCTACACCCCCAAGCAGCTTCCAGTCCCCAGCTGGGAACATGGCTCAATTCACTTGCGGGCCATAAAGCAACCAGGAGATGAGGCAACCGCGGATGGATTTCCTAGACTTCTCAGTGCTGGTTCCAAATGGTCCTGGGGGAGGCAGAGACTTAGGGCTATG